TTTGACTCATGTAGAAGAAAGTTAGGGCTATGGAAATGATGAGGTACAGCATCTCACCATGTTGCTTAAGCTGGCCTCAAACCACTGGCCTCAAAGGATCCTCCTGCCTCAGCCTCCCAAAGATGCAGCCTGTTTACATCCCCCAGCTGCCTGTTGGAAATCCCCGGTGCAATGTGGAGAGGCTGGCATTTGCCCCCTGCGTTCACCATCATCACCATCATGTAATATTTATGAAACACCACACACCTATAACTCCGAACTGAGCCAAGTGCAGAGATCACATCCACTTCCCTCGGGGGGCTTGTAATTGAACTTGGTCTGGTACTTAGACCAGGTGTGGTTATATAAGAATGAGGCTTCTGCCAGCAACCACACATGAATTTTAGCCTCCCTATTTTAGAATGAGCCCAGGAACATGTCAGACATGGGTGGAGGAGAGAAGTAGGAAAGCTGCCAGACATCTTCAAGGCCTCAGAATAGTAGGTTTATAATGTAACCTGTCCATAGGATGGTTGTGCAAAGAGCAATGTTCCTCACCTCATTGCACATGTTTTATAAAAGTTCAGACAGTCATCTCACAGAGGGGTGTGCTTCCCTTGCTCCTTCAGTTGAGGAATTACTTTGATGACTGTCTTCCAGCACATGCATGGAAAACCATCCTGAAGTTACTTAAGATTTCCTTCTGTTCTCCTCTGAATTTGTATAAATAACCTCAGTCATCAGAGTGTATACTGGAAAATTAAATCCAAACTCCAGAATTTTCCAAGCAACCAAATATTTGGCATTGTGTAGAACCAATAGCCTAACAAGGGATTGAATTTCTTAATTTTCACCCATTATTTAATGGTGGATTTTGGTTTGGTTTTTATTTGTGTATGTGTTTGTTTTTGAGATAGGGTCTTACTCCGTTGCCTGGGCTAGAGAGTACCGTGGCATCATCATAGCTCACTGCAACCTCAAACTCCCAAGCTCAAGCGATCCTCCTGCCTCAACCTCCTGAATAGCTGGTACTAGAGGTGTGCACCACCACACCAAACTAATTTTTCTATTTTCTGTAGAGACAAGCCCTCGGCATGTTGCTTAGGCTGGCCTCAAACCTCTCGTCTCAAGTGATCCTCCTGCCTTAGCCTCCCAAAGTGCTAGGCGTGAGCCACTGTGCTCAGCTGTAATCTACTAAATTCTACAACCAGTAAAAAGGAAAAAATAACTGTGTGCTCTGTGCCTAAAAATAGCAAATTTCCAAAAACACTCAAAATTTGTATGTCATCTTAGAGGTCAGTTTTTAAATATTTTTGACCAGGAGAGCATGTATTTTTAAATGCTGACTTATTTAGCAACCTGATTCAGAAATCATATCAGTAGTATTACAGGATTATTTGTAGTGGGGGCCTAAATATCGAAGGAGGCACCGTTAGAGTACTGATATTTACTGTACCTGTTGATCTCGAAGAACATTCAAAATTGCTTTTTAAAAACATTTATGTGTATTTGTACAACTTCATTAGAGAACTTGAAAAAATAAGTAGATAAAACAATTTGATTCTAGAAAATTGTTACCATTATGTGGGATGTGGGTAAAAATATGCTCTTCATATCCAGGTAAACAGAACACCTCTTCCTAGACTCATTTGTATAACTGAGAATTTACTGTCTTAATAATTATACTCCTTTGGATTTATAAAGTATCTTCAGAGACTTGAAAACTTGGTTGGTTGCTGCACATAAATTCTGTTTTATGTAATTATTTTAAAATTCTTTTGAGGTTGCTCGGCACCAGTAGCACAGTGGTTATAGCACCATCCACATGCACCAAGGCTGGCGGGTTCAAGCCCGGCCTAGGCCATCTAAACAGCAATGACAACTGCAACAAGAAAATAGCCAGGCATCCTGGCAGGCACCTGTAGTCCCAGCTACTTGGGAGGCTGAGGCAAGAGAATCACTTAAGCCCAAGAGTTTGAGGTTGCTATGAGCTGTGATGTCACAGCACTCTACTGAGTGGGACATAGTTAAACTTTGTCTCAAAAAAAAAAAAGGTAACAAAATTATTTTGAGGATATGATGATCTCTCATCTGCAGAAATACTATACCAATTATAATACACGCACACACAGACACACAAAATAGTCCCTATACTTGGGAGTTTACTATTGTAAAGTGTATTCTGAACACTTAAAAAATTTTGCTGGATGTAAAAATAACGTAGAGTATTTAGTTTCAGATGAATAAAAGAATGTTGAATAAATTCAACTATGAAATAGCCCAAGGCAACTGATAGCTGAGATTCAGACAAATGAGAAAGACCATTTTTTTTTTTTTTGGAATATTAAATGGGGAATATATAAACAAGTAGCCCAGAGAGCTTCCCACTGGCCCTGGAGCTGGTATATTGTGACTGAGCAGATGAAAGGTGCTGGGGCCATCAGCACACAGCGACCCCCGCACACACGTCCATGCTTTTCTGATCTGCTGACCTCCAGGAAAGGGATGAGGCCCCCACTGTCTGGAGTTTGGGCAGGTTTAGTCATCCTTTCTTTGTACACTGACTCGATGCAACCTCTCAGTTCCAACTCCGGGCTACTCTGGACTCCAGTTTAAGACAGGTTATAGAGGGACTAGGACCTCCCTCCAAAGAGCTGATGTCCTGTGAAATGTGGCTCTCAAGTATTTTCAAGTCCAGATTTTTTTATTTTATTTTATTTTATTTTATTTTTTATTTTCATAGTTCTTCCTGGGAACTTCAGTAGATTTTTAAAGAGAAGAACCACAGATTTGCGGAATAATTTTTATAATGAAACTGATTCAAAATTTAAAAATTAAAGGAGTATATTTTGCTATTTAATTCGTATCTGTTTTTTGAGCATATTTTATCAAACTATTTGCTCTAATTTGAAGGACTACTAGTCAGATTACCTAAATTTGATTTTATTTTTTAATTTGTTTTATTAAATCGTAAACACATAGATCATGTATACATTAGTACATTTATGGGGTACAATGTGCTGATTTCATATAGAATTAGGAGCGTTTATATCACACTGGTTAATATATATCTTGTCTCATTTACTTAATTATTGTGTTAAGACATTTATACTCTATACTTAATAGATCCGACATGTACCCTTGCATTAGGCCCCATAGGTGTGATCCCACCATTCACCCTCCCTCGATCTGCAGCTATGGCGATGGTGAGTTTGTGACCTTAGTGAAACTGCTATCTCAATTATTTGCATTAGTAAACATCAAAAAGTTGAACAGATGATTATTTCTTCCAATTTTAAATTGTATGATTCTGAATTCGAAACCTTCACAATGTATTGTTTTATTAATCTAATAATATCATCTCTGAGAATATTTTCCATACTGCTTTTTTTCCCTTTCACATTACAAGGATTAATCGTCAAAGGTCTGCTTCAACATTCTTTTATCATTCAAAGCCACTCACATGTAAGACTACTCGTGAAAATGAGGGAACCAGACTGTTCCCTTGTTCTGTGACTAGTGGTAATATTTAATATGAAGGGTCCATTACATTTCCATTTCTCCATCTGGAAAATGAGTTATGGTGCCTGGCCTGTGTTACATGAATGGTTTAGTACTCTAGGTAAAAATCAGATGTCTCACAATAAAGATACACCATAAATTGAAAGGAGCATTTCTAATCATAAACCATAGGATTTTAACGTTAGTGCCCTTAGATCATTCTTAGATCTGTTCTTCAGAACTTCTATCCAAGACTTCTACAATCACAGAAGAACTGTAGCCATGGTTCATTCACTAAGTTCCTCAACCTCTAAAGCTCAGTAAAAAGAGCCCACCCTAGGGCATAAGAAAAGTACATGGTGGTGGCCCAAGAGGGAAACTATGTCCCTTAAAACTCTGCCTTCTCTGAAAGTTCTGGGGTGGTGAAATGTAGGTAGATATTGATTGTGGTGGTGTTTACCCTGGTGTATACATTTGTCAAAACATGTCAGAGCGTCCACTTAAAATGGATGCATTCTGTTGAATATAAATGATACCTCAATACAGTTGATTAAAGAAATGAGAAGAAAAAAAAAACAACTTTTTTTATGGGGTGGTATCCAGAGCAAAAAATGGATATCAGGAAATAAACCTTGTTAATTTAGGGAAACCTTGAAACCTCTATTTCCACCTCGCCTGGTGGGAAAGCAAGATTAAATTGTTACCACCATGTAGTAAGGTACAGTAATAAGGGTATGAGTGATTCTTGACTTTTTGAGGCTTGGTTAGTTTGAGAAGCTGATAAAAATTAAAGCAATTTTCCCTAGAAAAATATACATACAAAAGGCACACGCCATTTCAGGGACTTCACAATCCCTGCTTCCCCAGATTCATCCGTGACACTCCAACGGGGAAGCTTGCCTTAGTGTTTCAAGTGAAAGTTCTGTGAACCCAGAGTGGGGAGAAGGGAGCATCTTTTTAGCACCTGTTTGGAAGGCAATGGGAATACACTCCCATGCAAAGAAGGCAATCTCTCTCTAAGAAACTCTGGGTAGCTGAAGCATAGGTGCTTAGTCAGAAGTGAAGGCCATCTGCTTGTGGACTCCAGACGGTATTTGTTAATCTATCAAATTAAGTCCTGCCCCTGACGTGTTGATATTAGTTCAATAGTTTATCTGGGAATTTATCACTTGAAATTGTTGTTGCCAAAATGATTCTAACACCTGGATAATCAAGTACGTGCTTACAATTCTCATTCTTTTCTCCCTCCTCCCTTCTCTCCCCTCCCTCCACGTCCACGCTCCACCTCATTTTTCCTGTCTCCTCTTCCCCTTTCCTTCTCTGTAGCTCTCTCTCTCTGTTCTCGATCCCTTCAGGCCTCTGTCAGTCTCTTCTCTTCTCTCAGCCTTCTTTTCCTGAAGCTCTTTCTCTCCATTTTCATCATTTCAATGTTCCTGTTTAGGTGAATAGTTAATATATAGGGAAAGCTCTGTACTTAGCTTGTATTAGAATTATTCCCTTTTTTACATTGCCATCATGAAGGGCCTCCCGAGGCATAGCATACTGGTTATGCTTCATTGTCACTGGCTTAGGAGTGCAGATCTTCTGGGGCCTGAAATCCCTGAGGGGCTATCAATGGTGCTAAGTTTGCACCAGTTCCTGGCTTTCTGCAGATTAAGCCTGGAAGAAAGCTGGGTGTCGTGGTGGGCGCCTATAGTCCCAGCTACTTGGGAGGCTGAGGCAAGAGAATCACTTAAGCCCAAGAGTTTGAGGTTGCTGTGAG